GCAGGGGGTCAGGAGCAAAAGCAGGACACCACCCATGCCCCCCACCCCCCTGCCCAGCACTCACCACCACCTAAGGGGTGGGCAGACCACCTAAGCCACGCCTCCAGCCCAACCCCTGGACACACCCCTCCCCTCACCCCATATGAGGAACCAGCTTGCCCCACCTCGGGAGCGAGCAAGGGAACCCGTTTTTGTTCTCGCTCCCCCCCGCTGCAGCAGGGACCCCAGTAAAGCTTAGTCTGAATTTCTTGTCTGGTCTCTGATCAATTTCTATTGATTAAGGAGTCCAAAAACCCTGGTCAGTAACATATTTACATATCAATCTAATAACAATTTAAAATTCATGCTCTATTTCAATGAGGAGTAAAAAGCTATATACTGGTGAGCCTAGATTTGTAACTGGGAAGGGATGTGCCCTTTTATTAAGCTTTATTAATGCCATTCCTATCAGACTCTGGCCAGTTCCCAATGCCCCCCATCTCTCTGGTCACCTCCACCTAATCTGGCACTTTCTTGAGAGCTGCCACCCCCAATGTGTTCCTTAGAACTCCCCTTCCAACAAGACTGGATCTTTCTTACCCCTCCTCTTCAGCCCACAGCTCCTTTTCCTTTTAAATTAAAACAAATGATCAAAATACCAAACCTAAAGAAATTTTTAAGTTGAAAAATCTTTCTACTCTCTCATGATCATGGGCCCTGGCCTGTATCAGAAATCAGAAAGCCAATTCCCAGGTAAGAAGTCAATAATAAATTGAATTATTTTCTTCAGAATTCTTCTGATTATTAAAATTAATGAAGTGTTATCAAAAGGAATTCAAGTTGGGAGATAGAGAAATAAGGTAAAGCAGCTAAAATAACTTTTCTTGAGGAAACATTCCCAAATGAATCCTTCTTTTTCTGTTTATTCCCAAGAAAAAACAAGGCAAGATAATTCTTAGAGCGTAAATGTCTGATTCAGAGTGTTACAGAGGAGAACTAAGAGCTTTCCTGGCGTGAGCAGGGTGCAGGCGTGGAGAGAGAAGGCTCCACACTGGTGGGCACAGCCGTGCCTGTGGTGGCAAAAGCAGCTGTGTGGCCAGGACTTACTTCAAAAGAAGCAAACTGTGGACATGGTTAAGGACAGAACGCCTTTATGTAAGGCTTTCACCCAGCGGGGAAACAATTTGATTTTTACTGACTAAGGAGGAAGAAATGCTTTGAGTAGCCAAGCAGTTGGTGAGAGGCCTTAGATGAGCACATGACCTGAAATCTGAAATTTTCCTTGGAAGGGGCTGTCTCAAAGGGAGTTTAAGAAAAGACCCCAGATGAATTGGAAAGGCAATCAGCATTTAGCATGAAACCCTAGGGTCAGACCCTGGGGTTAACAGGTGATGCTGTGTAATGTTCACAGAACAGATCCTATTGCCTTTTAATAGATAAAGAAAGATAAATTATTAAAATGACCTATCAACTAAGAGAAGCCACCATCCCAAATTCGGTGTGTATGATTCAAAGTTCTTATTTTAGAACAAAGTCAATTCTCCTTTCCACTATACTAATATTTCTTAAGATGTCATCATTATAACATCTACAACTTACTTTAAATTTTCAGCACAGACTGTATGAAGTTGCGTGTGTGTGTTTTAAGTTACAGTCCAGAGGCGGCTATCATTCTAATCAGGCAGCCACGTGCCAGAGGTAGTCGTGAGCATGCTCTCAGAAACACTGCAGCCACTCCAGACACGACTACTCCAGGAGTTCTGCTATCTATTCCTCTCATCAACTTTCTGAATGTCAAGTTGGGTTTTCTTTGGTAAAAATAGCAGTCTCTTAATTAGCATAAATGGTAGATAAATGTTAGGAAAGAGATCTCAGTGGTGAAATTAAATATATTAAGGTTATGCAGTTTGGCAAAACTTCTTTTAGAAACACTCACAGCCTGTGTGAAAATGGTATAAGACTCCAGTGAGGTCTGTGACCTGAAGCCGTGGAGACGGTTCTGCATTCTGGATCAGTGAACCTGTGCCAGCTATTAACTTAGGAGGCTTTCTGTTGCCTGGCACTGGCTCTGGGTACAGCTGAATCCTGCCTCTGAAACACTGCTACAGCTGCCTGAAGAAAACAGTTTCTTCAAGGGAAGGCAAGTCAGAGAGCTAAGACTTCATTGAGCTGACAAAGGAGTCTGTATTAACAGTGTTGTTCCAGCTTGCTAATAAATGTTCATTTAATAAATGTCTATATGTGCCCCGGACCCTGTCTGGGGCTTCCGTTCACTGCTCCATGGTGGCAGAGCTGTATGAGAATAGCTGTTTCTTACTTATCTCACTTGTCAGTGGCTAACATTGTTTTTTAAAAAGAATATAACAGATATGCATGCAAGGTGGCTAAGTCAGATCTATAATTCTGTTCCTCAGATCATTTGTTTCAGAATCACTTGAAGTTTAGAATTCTTCGATTTCTCAACATCCTGCATTCTAAAGTTCTATGAGTGGGGCCTGAGAATATGAATTGTAACAAGTTCCCCTAGTGATTCTCATATACTCTGAGGATTCAGCCAATAAAGATATAACCAAAGAAGCATCATGATCATTTTCTGACAGCATTTCCCAATGGCAGACTGAAGACCCAAGAGGGAGGAAATATGACCCTGACCGCTGGGTGTGAAAACCCAGATCTGTAAAGCAATAGTAACAGCACACTGTAAAGCCCTCATATCTTATAAGCTCTACGCCATGAATTTGTGGTTACAGCTTTTTGCCTACCCATCTAGATGGACATAGATCAACACTTGCCTTAAGCACTCAGCAAGCTCGTTCATGGCCGAAGATGTCCCACTGCCATTTGGATGAGGAGGGATTATCGACAGCTTTCCCACTGAGTGCTGTCATCCATTTTCTGACAGCAATGAAAACTGCTGGCCAAAAGTCCATCTTGTTAAATATGTTTTGGGAGAAAGACCAGTTTAGCTACTGGGTTGCTTTTTCTCACATCAATCAGCCCAGTTTATTCACTCTGAAGACATCTTGTCTGACTTCATCCACTCATCAAATATTTATTGAGAGACTTTTAAAAAGCATGTAGCTTTAACTCCCAACAAAGACCATGGAAGATTAAAGAAACAGAGGTCTAGTTCAGGACTTCTGTCTCTGAGCTGCCACTCATCATCATATCATGATGCAGAGCGGAGAAGCACCCTCATACAGCAGTCAGAGGTTCTGAATTCAGGGGCTGGCTATAGACTCAGCAGCAAGTCAGTACAGCTCTTAGGGCTTCTATTTCTTCTTTTGGAAATTTAGGAATAAAAGGCTTGCCTTGATTATTTTTCAGAATTTATTAATTCATTTACAAATATTTATTGGTCATCTACTATATTCACGAATTTTTCTAGGACCTTGGGGGATAAAGCAGGAAACAAGACATACAAGATGTCTGTTGTCAAGTAGGCTTATTCTAATAATTAGAGAAATATATACAAATAGTGATATATAAACATATATTTATATATACAAATAAATAGATATAGGAATATTAATAGGCATATTTGCAGAGGCAAGTATATGTACACATACTTTTTAAAGCTTAAACCAAAGCCTTTTCTAAGGATACAATGTATTTTTTTAGATCTCACATTGGGTGATTAGAATAAGAAAGGGAATAATCTAATGAAAGATTATTATTGATCTAGGCAACACACCTAGCATTTTAATAAAAGATATCCCTATGTTTCATTAATGAAGAAAAACATTTTCTGGCAGGATGCATTTCTCAAATTAGAAAACATGTCAGGTCTGTGTTCCAACACTCTTTCACATACAGAAGTAGAATTTATCATTAAAAGAATCTTCCATTCCACTAATCTTTTTATTACTTAAGAATCAAGATATTTGTGATAAGGTGGCTTCATGTAAGGCAACCTGTGTTAGGCAGCTTCTCAGAAGGCCCCAATAACCCCTGATTTCTTGTGTAATCCCCTTGCTTTAAGTGTGGGCTGGATTTAGTGACTTGCTTCTAATAAGTTGTATATAACAGAAGTGATGGGATGTGACTTCCAATTGTATATAACAGAAGACTGGATTATTAAAAACAAACAACAAGAACAAAACCTTTATGGCTTCTATCTTGTAAATTTTCTCTCCCACTTACTGGCTTTTCCCTCCCCGCCCCTTCTCCCTCCCTACCTCTCCACTATCTCTCTCTCTCTCTCAACCTTGTTCCTCTTCTTATTACTCCTGTATCTCTTTCTCCCTCCCTCCCTCTCTCTCTCTCCCTCTCTCTCTCTTTCTCTTTCTCTCTCTCTCTCCCTCCCTCCCTCCCTCTCTCTCTCTCTCTTTCCACACACACACACACACACACACACACACACACACACACACACCCCACCCCATCATCTATAGAAGAGACCACTTGAAGAAGAGAGGCCCCAAAGGATCAGAGCTGCATAGAGGAGAACCGAGGCACCCCAGCCAACAGCCAGCACAAGCGATCAACCAAGTGAGTGCACCGTCTTGGAAGCAAACTCTCTAGCACAATAAAGCCTTCAAATAACATAGCCACGGCCAACAGCTTGGGTATAACCCCATGACAGACCCAGGTGGTCAGAATCACCCATCTAAGTCATTTCTGAATTCCTGGTCTAGAGAAACTGTGAGATAATACATGTTTGTTCTTTTAAGCCACTAAGGTTTGGGGTAATTAGTTACACAGCAAGAGATGACCAATGTATAATCCAAGGACATGATTCCTGAGAATAGTATTATGAGAATGAATGGATTCAGAATCTCACGCTTTATACTTAGAATATTTGAATTGGACTAGAAGAATATGGTGACATCATATTAACACTTTATCATGAAGAAACAATAAATTTGATGCTCCTTTTAGTTCAATGAGGTTACAGAGTTTGTTTGCTTTTTTTCTGAGATCTACTGAGTCCACTGAATCAATATAAATACTTCAAACTTTACTGAAACTCCATTTTTAGCAATGTATTAGTTAACCAATTAAAAAAATGGTAGTCTTACCTCCAAAAAAGTACTTCTCGCCAGTTTTAACTTGAAGAGGACTGTTAGTTCGGACTGCTGAGGCTTCATCTCCGTCGATAGTGAGAATAACAAAATTCTCCTTAGCTAGGAAACGGACTTCATGCCACTGGCCGTCATTCAACCCAGAACCTGTTAGATACAAGAGAAAAGGCCATTTCTTTTCTTAAGATGATTCAGTTTAAAATAATTTTTAATAACAACAGTCAGAGCTTTGTAAGTAAAAATTAATATATTTTCATCTAGGAAAATTCAGTGTGGCTACAATTAATATCTCATCTTCTTTAATATTATAAGTAGTTCTATCCTCCGCCAGACCAAATACGCCATAATATAACCCAATCAAGTAGGGACATAACGTGCCATCGGGGTACATGAGGAAATGGAGTGAATTAAGTTGTTTGGTAGATGATGATGAACTATTTTAATAACTTATTTTCCAGTTAGCTTTACTAGACTTCACTCTCAGATGAGAAAAAGGATTTGTAATTTTATCTCATGTCACTCTCTGCTTTTAAGAACTATTTTTTGTACTGTCATTGCCTCTCAACAGCCACATCTGGCAAGTATAGCTAATAGAAATAAAGGACTAAAGAATAAATGTGTGAGTATGTGCCGTGAAGGGGAGAAGAATATGCCACCCCAACATATGCTATTTCAGCATACTGATTATTTTGAATTCAAGTTACTTAAGAAACAGCAAGTGCAGTAAGGATACTCTGACCCTCCTTTGTCCCTCTGAAAGCAGGAAACAAATCTCTCATGTGAAAGGTACCCTCCCTGTACCAGGAGGGTACAAGGCTTCCTTATCACTAGAGAGAGGGAAGTTAGGGCCAAGAAGGCTGTATAAACAAACCATGTTACTAATTCGCTAATCTACTACCCCAAACCCAAAACTCTGGGTTACCAAAGTTACCCCAAAACTTCTTTGTCCTGTTAATTCTTTACAAAATTAATCTTTTTCTTCAGCTAAAAGGTATAAAATCTGCCCTACATTGGTCACTTCTTTGAGTCTCATATTTTGGAGAGGTCCCATACGTACAAAATTATATTTGTTTTGGGCTTCCCTGGTGGCACAGTGGTTGGGAGTCTGCCTGCGGATGCAAGGGACACGGGTTCGTGCCCCAGTCTGGGAAAATCCCACATGCCGCGGAGCGGCTGGGCCCGTGAGCCATGGCCACTGAGCCTGCGCGACCGGAGCCTGTGCTCCGCAACGGGAGAAGTCACAACAGTGAGAGACCCGCGTACCGCAAAAAATAATAATAATAATAATAATAATAATAAATTATATTTGTTTTCCTCCTAGCAATCTGTCTGATGTCAATTTAATTCTTAGATTAGCCAAAGAACCTAGAGGGGAAGAAAGGAAAAGTTTTCCTTCCCTACAGCCGTTATTTGTGCTAATTGACCACTAATAGGTATGGGAAATGATACCAGGATTATCTGATCATTTACAAATAAGATATTTTTATAATGAATTAGGTTATATTTAAACAGATAAACATCAACAAAATAAATCAACAACTCCCTAACAATCACATTCCACTCTTGCCTAGTACAAAGGTCTTCAGAAATAGAAAATCTATTTAGTTGTCCATTAGACAGAAAATAACAAAGTTTGTTTAGTTTGTGTTCATTTTTCAAATAATAATTAGAAAATTAAGGAGTAAAGAGAGGAGAACAGCCTTCAAACAAACGTATCTTGAAAGAGTTTAAGGAACACTAAGAGAGACAGAAATCTAAGTGAGTCAAAGTGACTTTCTTTCACCTTATAAAGGCCTATGGAAAGGGAAACTATTTTGTTCTAGACTACTCCAGATGGCTTAATCTAGAATCCACAGGTAGGAGTTACTGAAGGTACAGTTCAGCCTCACAAAAGAGAAGCCTAGCATGAAAAGGTATCCAAAAATGGAATGAGAGAAAATCAGTGAAGCACGAATGATGGCTTCCAAGCTTCTGATCAGAGGTCTGCAAACCACAGCTTATAGGCTAAATACTGCTTGCTGCCATCTGTTTCCGTGCAGCCTGAGAGCTAAAAATAAATCTCACATTTTAAATGGTTGAAAAATAAAATAATAGCAATATTAAATTACATGTGAAAATTATATAAAATTCAAATGCAGTGTCCACATAAAATTTACTGGAATACAGTCAAACTCATTTGTTTATACATTGTCTGGTCTACAGAGTCAAAAACAGTTGCTACAGAAATTGTATGGCCCACAAAGCCTACACTATTTACTATGTTGTCCTTTACAGGAAAAGCATAATCTAGTGATTGGTTTACATTATTAAACAGAAACACCATTTTAAAGAAGAAAAGTAAGGCTTCTTGGGGCTTGAAGATAGTCACATATATGTAGTATTAACTAACACTGTACTAGTAAATATCATTACAAATAATCATCCCTCAGGTATTTTTTTTCAGGATTTTCAATTTTTAACTTAGTAACATTTATTGAGCACATTTTATTTCAATGGAGGAAAACAGCTCTAAAGTAATTAATACTAAATAATTTTCAAATTATGAAATGTATAATACATACAAATACATATTTTTTGTACTGAAATTACTATGTAAACATACAGTCTTATTCTAAAAGTCAAGTCAGTTAGCTGTCAGACAAGTAGTAGTGTTCACTGAAACAATTCCTTCTCCAGTAGTGGGTTCTCCCACAAAACTGATTCATGGAAGACTGTACCGTCACCATAACATATTCTGTTAAATTATAAAACTGGGGTTAGTGTTAATTAGCCACAGAAGTGTATGGTTTTGATTTTGGTTGTTATCTTTGCCTTTACAACGTGATGAACCCTGCTTTGAAATGCAGTTTTGGGGCATGGGTCCCAAGGACAGTAATGTTACAAATGTTTAATCCTAAATAGTCACACATTCAGAGGAAGTCACTTATAAGCTGTCTTCAGTAACAGGGCTTTCTGTTCTAACTGGTAGACCAGAAAGCCTTCCTAAAAATTCTAATGAAAATTTCTTCATCATAAAGTTAATTTTTAAAGGGAAAATCACCAGCTTAATTGTTCATGACAAAAAGGTCTATTATTCCATCAGATTAAAGTAAAAAGGTTACTTTATTTTTTCAAGAAACTTAATTACTAAAGAAATTGGACCTCATATAAAAGCAGCCTTGTTGATAGCAGCCACTGCTGCATCCGAGCTTAAGGTGTGATTTCTATTCATTTTAATTCCAATTATTACTTTGAATTGTTAATGCTAATCATCAAGAGAGTTTTTAATAACATGTGGATAAAGAAAAATTTTAAGAAGTGACATATTTTCTTTTGAGAAATTAGGTCATCCTTGCCCCACTGAAGAATGAACTTCATATATTCGGGGCCCATTCCTATCATAGATTGCTGAGGCATACCTCTTGACGATTAACATTAACAGTTCCAAACAATATTTCACAGAAAAAGATTTTTTTGAATTACTATCCCCAATAAATAGGTGAGAGAACTGAATCTAATAACGTTTAGGCATCCCGTATGTGGTAAATGTCAGAACTGAGAACGGGAACTCAGCTATATCTAGTTCTGGAGGCTGAGTTCTTATAAACAGCAAACAAAGAAAAACCAACAACAATGAAACATGGTATATAGACTCTGTGCATCTGTGATCAGAGTTCTCTTATACCACACACACACACATACACTTCCATCTGCCACCACATCTAGAGGGAGTTTCTGGAGTACCCTTGTCTCATATAGCATCAGGGTTGTAAATAAACTGAGACACCGATCTGGTTTCATCTGCCAACTTTCAGCACTTGCGTCATCAGATTTTTGTTGTAATGTAAGATCCCACTACTACATGTCTTTTAGTAGTTTCTTACATTGATGTTTTTCCCCTAAAATTGTAATTTGAATGGAAATTAAGCAAATTCTAGCATTATTTCCCTAAGGCATATTAAAGTAAGCCCAGGAGCATTCATTTAAATCATCTCCATACTTTGTGAAACTCAGCTAAGAGAACTCTGTGTTCACTCCTTTCATTTTATTATGAGTGGATCAATCAATGATCTTTAACATGCTATCATTTGTCAGTTTGTAGAGTTGAGATCCTAATTTAGGCCTTTTGCATTCAAACAGTAGTTCTTCCCACTCAGAACACAGCCATTAAATTTTATGGGGCGAAAAAAGAAGATGCCATAGTTTCAGCATAATTTCCCTCCTCTTGTGTCCCTTCCCTTCAGTGCAAGGGAGACCTGAACAACTTTGTATGAAACACGGACTACTGAGTTTTGCCTTTACCATTTCCTGGGCCACCTGCCACTTGGGAAGTAGTACAGAATTAGTTTTGCTTCAGAGAAACTATATGGAATAGCCTCTTTGAGGCATTTTAAAAAATTAACAATATTCTTTAGTAATTTTTAATTCATATGAAACAGAACATTAATGAAATTTAAGAGCTTTTGGAATTCTATAAAATTCACTCAGAACCGTGCAGTTGATCATACGATATACACTTACAATACCAATACAGTATTAAGAAAAAAAATGTATCATCATCCCAAGTTTTATTAGAAATTTGTGAGTTGTAAACAACAAAGAACACATCACCAAATAGGATTAAGGCATCACGTCTCATTTGCTATTAAAGAGATGGTATCCCTTCACTCAATATTCTGGAGCAATAAATGTCCCAGGGAATAGAGAGACTCACCAGGGACCCATAATCCCAGACACTGTGGGGTCTTGGTGGCTGGAGAGTGACTCAGGACCAGACCAAATAAGGATGCTAGTTACTGATACTTAAAAAAGAGACCCACGTCTCATACGGCTAACATTTCCTAAGAGCCTGGTATGTGCCTGGCACTACCTAACTCTGTGTATGTGTCAATCTATTGCCTTTTCTCAATAATGAGCATCAAGATGGCAGAAGGGCAGGAAAATAGTGTGGCAGCTAAGAGGACTGACCCAGGAGCCAGGTTGCCTGTGTTTGCTCTGGCCCTTGCCAACCTGGACAATTTACTTAACCTCTTTGTGCCTCAGGCTTCTCCTCTCTAAAATCAAATAGTAGTATCCACTTTGTAGATTGGTTTTAAGGAGTAGATGAATTAGGGTTTGCATAGCATTAGAACAGTGCCTAGCAGCTAGGAAACAGCATATCTGTATCT